TTCCTAAAAATGACTCAAGTCAATGCATAAAGGAATCAGCTTCGGTTACCTAGAAAATTCACTTCTGTGAAATAATTCATTTATTTGCTCCCTGAGGTATTACTGTGTATGAGTAGATTGTATGAGCAACTCACTCAGAGGTGAATGGCCGTCTTCTTAAAATCTCAGTGGAGACAGAAAAGAAGACTTTATTAAGTTCCCCAAACATCTGGCCTCCCTAAATATGTCATCAGAAATGGGGCCAGGTGCAGAGGCATTAGAGGAGATGGTTGTGTCATTGTAAGAGAGAAAGAAAGACCACTCTCTCCTTAGAATAACGAAGCCTCTACAGCCTCAGCTTCCCACACCATCTCTGTGCATTTGGTTTCACATCACTTATGTGGCTTGAAGAGCCAGTCTCCTGCTTTTATTGGTCCAGTTTCCCTTCTCCTGCTCTTCAGGAAGGGGGAAGAAAATAACTCTTGAAACCCAGATGATTCATAATGTATTCCAAAAACACAAGCCACTTGTCAGTCTACTTTGCCTGCCTGTTTTGAGAGGTACGTCTCCTTTTCTGCAGAAATCTCTGTAAGGCAGCAGGCTATGACATTCCACCCTTATCCTAGTTTCCTGAGCTTTAGATCACATGGGACAGATTTCTGTGTGTGTGAAGGTAATTAAGCAGGCCCATATTCTCTATAAGTCCATATGAATATAGGTTTTAATAAACTGTTATCTGCTATACAAAAATTAAGTATAGCTTTTTACATCTAAAGACAAAGAATAAAACATTGTCAAATACTTGGTGGTCAAATATTTAGTCAACTGCAAGACCCCAAGAGTGTTTTTCTTGGAGATGGTCACAACATTTCATTATGGTGCTGTAAAATCTCCAGTTTTCCTGGGAAGTGAGGTGTATGGAATGCTGTTTCTGGAAATGCTAGGATCCTTTCAAGATTACAGAGGAAAGTAGAAGTCTGCAGCTGCCTGCTCAGGTGGCCGATCAGGAAAGCTGGAGGTATTCTTCAATACTTTCCTCCTGCTTTTGTAAGGAGGACTTATTTTTGGTGTTTGTTTGTATAAGAAAATAAATCTGAAAATCGAGTTTCCTTCAAAAGGCTTCCCAGGAAAATGGCAATGAGGGAAGTATTTACACCAGGAGAATTGCCAAATGCTGCCAGAGCTATCCTCTGCTTCTTCCTCACATCCACAGCCAGTTTAAAACATTTCCAGTGTCTGACCTGAAACCCTTCATTTTCCAACTATCATTTCAAGAAGAAATCATACTTTGAGCTGTAGTGGTTCTTCATAGTCTCTGACTCACCAAAGCTTACCACTATTATTTTCTAGTGTGATAATGGATATATTTATTGATTTATTTTCAATACTTTCCATAATTTGTAGGGATTGACAGAATATACTCAGTCATTTTTTTATATTCAGTCATTTAAAAATAAATGTGACTACTATTAAACCTTAATCTTTAATCATTTCTTCATCGTAAGAGATGAAATTTTTTTCTTAAGTGAAAATTTTGTTTATTCATTCTTATAAAGATCTGCAAATTTCAGCTATATGTTTCTAACATTGCATTAGCATTTTGGGAACACAGCTATCCAGTAAGCTAAATCCTCCATGTAATCCTATTGGAATTTCAAAGGAAATGTCATTGCAACCTTTATTTTGCATTCTTCCATGCTGAGCTAAGTAGCAAAATTTTCTCAAAATGTTTCCTTTTTAAGTTTCATTGGATACTCTTCCAAACTTTTAAAACAAATTTCTAACTCCAAGTTAGATAAAGGTTCTTCCTAAAAATTAAATATTGGTAGCCCCTGGGAAGATGCAAATTTTAAATTTGCAAGCTCCCTAGGTTCCAGAACTTTTCCAACCTTAGAAAGAGTCCTTTGAGTTGAAATACTTAAATGTCATTGACAGTGGGAGAGGAAAGACAATAGTGGAAATGAAAGAATAGACAGGCCTCAGTGTGAGGAAACAAAACAGATTGAAAGAGGAATGAGGCCATTTAAACTTAGAATTTGCTGGGGTTTTTAAAGATTGAATCGCAACTATCACATTATATAAAAGGTTGGGAACATGAATGAATCTACTTTCTTTTAAAAGATAAATGTTACTTGTTTACCATTAGAAAGAATTGCTTTAAAACAGGTACACAAAGTCAAACTGCCTCTTACAGTATTTCTAGGCTTACGAACTACATATTTAAGACCAAGTAAGTACATTCTGGGATTTGAAGCATTTATAAATACATCTGACTTTACCAAATATGAAAAAATTGTTTTGATGGATAGGTATATTTTTGTATGTAATGTTAAACCAAAATTCTCCTTGGCTTTAGGCAAGATTCCCCGGGGCCCATGTCTTTGGGAAGATATACTATTGTTCTGTTTATATTACAGTTGAGTTTTGTAGAGTTCCTCATGTGTATTTTAATGTTCATACAAATATTATTTCAAAATGTTGACATTTTAGTTTTCACTACGTGATGGCTTTATGTAAAGATTTTCAAGCAGATTTATTAGCATTATCTTTTCCTATAATGAGGCAGGGGCAGAAGTACATGTCCTCAGTTTGTATGAAAGAAAACAGAAAAAAGATTAGGTGCTGCTGCTAGATAATAGACGCCTGAAATTAGGAGAACAATTCAGGTCAGTGTTTCCTACATGTCTATATTTACATTTCATAATTTATTGAAATTTAATTCACATATAATATAATGCATTTATTTTAAAGTTTCAGAATTATTAGTTTAGACAAATTTTAGCACCAATGTAACCACAATTTCTCTCAAGATATAGTAGTTTTCCATCATTCCCACTCCCACCACCAAGTTCCTGGGACCATTTTACAATTAGCTCTTCTGAAGTCCTACCCTTGATAGCCACTGATTTGGTGTTCTTAGCAATAAATTAGTCTTACCTAACCCAGAACTTCATATGAATGAAATCATACACTGTGCAAGTATTTATGCTTAGCTCCTCTTTCTCAGTGTAATATTTTGAGACTCACAATTTTGCTATGTGGATCAAAGGTCCCCGTCACTGAGGAGTGATCTGTTGTTTGAATGTGCCCTAATCTATCTGCTTGCTTACTGGTGCTTATTTGGGTTATGTCTTGTGTGAGTCTGTTATGAATGAGGCTAGTAAGAACAATGGTGTCCAATGTATATTTGTGGATGTATGCTTGTAATTATTTTGAGTAAATACCTAGGAGTGCAACTACTAGGTCATAAGCTAAGTATATATTTCACTTTACAACAAAATGTCAAAATATTTCCACAGTGTTTATACTGTTTCAAAGCCCCAGAATTCATATATAAGCACATAACCAACATTTGATATTATTAGTCTTAAATTTTGGTCTTTTACGTAGTTGTGCTAGTGATATCTCACTATGGCTTAATTGTCATTTCTGTATATAATGAATTTGAGTATATTTCTTTGTGCTTATTTGCTATTCATGAATCTTGTTTTGGAATTGTCCCCAAATGTTTCTTCATTTTGAGGTAGACTGTACGAATTTGTTGTAAGAATTCTTTATACACACTAGATGTAAATTTTTTGTCAGACATATGTATAACACATTGCTTCCTTAAGTGTGTTGCTTAACTTCTCATAAATGAATTAAATTCTTAATAATGTGTCTAATTGTAATGAAACTTGTTATGGGTTAAGTTATAACTTCCTGCCAAGTAATATCTTGAATTCCTAATCCCCAGGACCTCAGAATGTGACTTTATTTTAAAATAAGACCTTTCAGAGATATTCAAGTTAAAATGAGTTCATTAGTGTAGGCCCTGATACAAAGCAGTTTGTGTCCTTACAAAAAGGGGACATGTGGATGCACACATAAGAGACACACACACAAAGAATACCACATAAAGGTGGAGGTAGAGATCAGGATGATGCAACTGCAAATTAAGAAATTCCAAAGACTTCCAGCAAATCACTAGAAGCAAGAAAAAAGGAATAGAACAGATTCTTTCTCACTGGAATCAAAAGGAACCAACTTTGCAAATACCTTAAATCTTAGACACGTAGCCTCCCAAAATGTGAAGAAATGAATTTCTATTATTTACGTCACACATTTTTTTGATGCTTTGTTATGGTAGGCTTAGCAAACAAATACACATTTATCACTCTTTCTTTTACAGGCACAGCTTTTGTGACTTAGAAGATCTTTGTCTTTCTTAAGGTCACTAAGATTCCGTTCCATGTTTTCTTTAAAATGTACATTATTTTTCTATTACATATAGGCACACTCCACATAGCTTCTTTTACTGGGCTTCACGATTGAATTTTCTGATGCCTGAGGGAGCAATTGTTCCTTGTATAATTTCTAAAATTAATCATAATTTCTGGTATCAAGGGGCTTTTTGCCCATTTCTTCAAGTTCAACTTGGAGCAAGTTTTATGTTCAAGGTGATAGAGCCCAGGGTCCTTTGGTTGTTTTCCTAATAAGCTGAAGATGACCATAATCAAAGTTTCAATACCAATTATTCAGGCTGAGCCAAGTCAGGCTCAGATGCACTTACCAATTTCTATCATATTCTTCCACTCAAGGTGAACTATTTATGTACAGGTCAAACAGGCATAAGCTCTAGGTAAATACCATGAATGAACTGAGGCCAGAGTATTCTTTTTGCATTCACCAGAAAGTCAAAGTGCCTGATGGTGGTCTATCACCCTTGCCCTATACTATGTGAAGGCACACATCCCTCACCAATTGAGAAATTATTATCTTCATGTAAGTTATTCTTATTCACCTCAGTTCTTTGTAGTTTGGAAAACAAAAGCCTTCCAAGGCCATGGAAAGGCTGAGAAAACAATTCAGTAAATTTCTGTTGTATGCTCTTCTTTTGGAATGGAATACTCAGCCCCTGGTGCATGCTGCCTACTTGAATTTACATTACTGTAGTACATGCACAGTGTGCTGTTTGATGCCCGCAGTTGTGTGTGCATGAGAACCAAGCCTTTAACAGATGCACTCAGAGAATACCTTACCCTTGACTGACAGGTGTCTCCACGTCACAGTTGGCTCTGGCCTGCCAATAGCAAGACACAGCAAGGTCACGCTGCTTCCCTCATTCACAGTGACATCTGAGGAGATGTTCATGATCTGTGGAGGGACTGTAAAGAAACACAGGAGAGAAGAAATGCCTGAGAAGTATTCCTTGCATTTAAAAGAAAACATTATCCTATAATACGTGGATAGGATGTTTTCATGATGAACACTGTTCTCAACAATAAATTTAAGGTTGCTTGCTTTGCCAAGGATATGGCCACTGACATTTATTTTATAGTGCACTCCTGATAGAAGAAAGGGTCAGGATTATGCCCTGTTGAAGCAAGTGTGTGTGTGTGTAGTGTAGGGCACTAGAGGCACTGAAGATGGACATTACTGCTTGTTGACTTAAAGACTAAATTAAAGGGAAAATTCCAAGTCTTCCCAGAGTTCTTGTCTGTCCACATATCTGTTGCTTTAAGTAGAATCAGTGGCTTGAGTGGATAACCCTGAGTAGTCCTCAATCACAGGCCTCTTCCAAGAGCTCACGCAGAAAGTCAAAAGCACTGGTCAGTTATCATCTCCTGGGCATTTCAAACTTTGCCAGGGTGTGTGTTCCAGGAATTCTCTTCTTTTCATTTCTTAACCTGAACATTTCTACCAATCTCTTAAAACACATCCTTTAAAACTCAGTACAATTTTCTGTGATTTCCTCGATCAGAGTTAATTGCTTTCTCTTTGGACTCCAACAAGCCAGTACGAATGTCCCTGCTACTGGTGTCATCATACGATTGTACAAATGATTCTTAACTCACCATGGATTATAGCACGATAAATATATCCTGACTTGAAATTATTATAAGAACAAACCTATTTATGCATAGTGTCCCAATTTTGGAACACACATAACAATGGAGCACAACAGAAAATTTTCTCTTCCAATTCTTGTTCCTTGATTTTTTCTAGGTAACAGATATAAATTTTACGACTGGGCTGGGGATTTAGCCCAGTGGTTCCGCCACCTGCCTCGCAAACACAAGGACCTGAGTTTGATCCCCGGTACCAAAAAATAAAAATAAATAAATAAATAAATAAATAAATAAATAAATAAATTTTACGACAAAAATTTTTTTAAATTGCAACATTCCACATAAACAGGTGACTGACTCCAATGAACTGAAAATCGTGGTTTAGCAGCACAGCACACTGCAAATGGTGGCTTCCCAGTCTAGAGCTGTGGTTCACTGGAGGGTGTGGGGCACCTTTGCTACTTAATATTAACAGTGAAAGAGTTTACACCACACAGCACTAGCCTAAAATCCAAAATAAAAAATCAAAGTAAGATTTATTCTGAGAAATGCTTTTGCACTGTCAAAAACCCTATGTAGAATCATTATAAGTTGTGAGCCATCTGTGCTATAAAATGTATTGTTAATGGCATGGCACCCGGTGATTGGGAGCAGGGCTCTAGATCCAGACTTAGCTCAGCTCCCCACCTGCTGTGGGATTCTAAGCAGGAATCTGACGTTGCCTGTGTGGCTTTGGTGTCTACATCTGTGTATGCACATATTAGTAGTGGTTAAATTCGCCCTGGTATGAGGTTTAAATGGAAAAACAGCTTAGTAGAGTGCCTGTTACAAGGTAAGCACTTGGCAAGTGTAAGCTGCTAAGACAACAGTGATGATAATTGCGATGGGTACATCAACAGCAGCAATAACATCTTTCACAAATAACTGTTTTCTTCTCCCAGGCCAGGGCCATGTCCTTGTATTTTTACCACTGCAGAGCCCAACATGATCCCTGGTCTTGCTACGTATCTTGTCCCACTTCCAGGCCTTGCTTATCAATTCAACTCAGAGCTCAGTACAGGAAAATACCCAGGTTCTTTCTGAACTCTTCTCATTGCTATTATTCTGGGTGATATTCTCACCAATTTTCACTGGAACAACTGCAATAGGCCATCACCTGGAACCTTCCACATGGTTTCTTTTTGTTTTTTGATCCTCCCAGTCTCTCTCCTATGTGTGGCAAGAATGACCATTTCAGACAACAATCTAATCCCATCGCTCCCCTGCTAACACTCAGCTCCCCATAGCAGAGCTCTTTTGCATGAGGGAAGCTCTCTGCTATCTAACTCCCAAGCCCACTTCCCCTTCACCTAGCACACTGAAAGCCCTGCTCTCTGGGAGTGTGTGAACAACACAGACTTTTTGCTTCTGTGCCTCCTTCCTGGACTCTCTTCCCAAAACAGCCTGGCTCCTCCTGCATTCAAACGTCACATTCCCCCTGCTGTTTTCCAGGCTCCTCTCACTTCTTGAAACTCTCTTATGGTGCACCTTGGTCAAGCCACAGGACAGGGACCAAACATGTGCACTGCAGGTGCTGTTTTATACCCATCTCTGCCTGGAGAGAAAGGTGCAGCAGGATAACCAGACATCACACACATCTCTATGTCCCAGTGTCGGGCAGAGAATGGAAGGAGCATACTTAATCCCTCTTTGAAAGAGGATTCTAAGAACAGATTGAACAGAACTCAGAGAGCTAGGGAGGTACAGCTTTGAATGGAGGATGTCCAATGTCTAGTACTTTCTTCTCAACTTGCTTTCAGAGACAAAAAGAAAGATAAGAGAAAAAGCTGACTCCAAATCTATAGTTATGCTGATTTATTTGTACTGCTACTCTAATTTTGGATTATTAATTATCAAACAGGTTTCATGCTAGTAGATTCCAAGCCACTCTGACTTGATGAAAAAGACAATTATGGCTGAGGCTCAATTCAGACCTCTCTGCAGCCTGAAGTTTTATGCTGCTGAGACCTTCCAGGTAAGACTTTTCAAGGAGAAGCCATAAGTAACAAGCAGAACACTTGAGCTCTTAAGGGAATCCACATTAGCAAATAAATAAAAATTGCCTTACTTATAAATCTGCCATATTTTGGATTATTTCTGCATTAGGAATTGCCCTGAAATTTCAGTGCACATATTTTACTGACATACACACAGGGAAAAAATAGTGTACATTCTAACTACCCTGGATTCTCTTGAGGAAACAGTTCTACCTGTTTTTCAGTATTTTCTAGCTTGTTAAAAAATAGTTCTGGGCTTAGAAATGTCAATCCTTTTTTTTTTTACTTCTATAAAGCCACAACTACAGTGCAACTTCCAAAATATTCTCAAAATAATGTCTGCTTTAGCTGTGAGTGTTAGGGCATCTGAGGGTCTCCTTCTCCAGACCCTGGAGACTCCCTGGAAGTCAGTTAAACACAACTCGCAGAAGCACTGTCATGCCAGTGCAGGGTGGTTCAGTGCAGTGCATCCATGAGGGGTGAAATTCCACACCCTCCCCCCAGTCATTGTTTCCATAGATGGTACAACTCTCATCTGGTCATTGAGAAGTGCTGGATGGAGAGACTCTTATGAGATTCCATGGGTATCTCACATGACCTCCTCCAGGCACTAAATGATTGTCACCCGCAAGGAAGCTCTTCCTGAAACCGGATTGCCAGGGTAAACCAGGCATGCCCACCAATCCAGTGTGCTACCTGTTAACCCCTGCAACTCTGCAGCATCCTGCAGTTTTCTTGAAGGAAGAAAGATAAGTCCATGTCTTAGTTATTTTCTCATAGCTGAGACAAAGTACTCGACTCCCAAAGTTAAAAGACAGAAGGTTTAATTAGCTCACAGTTTGTAGGGGGGCTTCAGTCCCTAATTGGCTGGCTCCAAGGCAGGGTGGCATAGCAGAGGGTCAACAGTTCATGGCAGCAGACAGGAAAAGCAACAATGGGCCTTTATGGTGTCTTTCTGCCCCTTTTATCTTATCCAGACTCTGAGGATTAGGGTGGTGTCAAACCAATCCATGGACTGGTTTAGTAATCACACGCCCTTAATCCCAGCGTCACACACTCTAGATCAACCACTTCTGAAAAAGCCCCTCTATGATTGCACAAGGCTTTGGGGGGAAATCTAGACCCAAAGCATAACAGCTTCAAAAGTGTGGGTACAGTGTGATTTGATAGGAAGGGAAGTTCCTTGTGTTCTCAATTATGGTAGCCTTAGTAACCAACATTCATATGTAATTTCATTTCTAAAGTGTTTTACTTTTGCATGATCGCATAAGCACCTTACAAATTATGAGATAAATAGAAGAAATATTTTCCCTATTAAACACGAAGAAACTGAGGCACAAGGAAAATTGAGAAAACTACCTCATATTATAAAGTTAGTAAACGTCAGAGCATATATTACACTGTGTCTAATAAGCTCCCCCAACACGATATTCATATCCACAAGCCTTTGCATGTTGTTGATTCTGCTTCCAATGTCTTCCCAGAGCACCTTCACCCACAGCACTTGCCGCAGGACACCAATGTACAAAACCCTCCTGTTCCAGTCAGCCCATTGCAAACCACTGACAGCAGAGCCCTGTCTTTACTATCCTGGTTTCTCCAGGGCCACACGAATTCCTTGCCAAGAGAAGTACTATATGAAATAGTTCTAATTTGCTTTTAAATCTGAATTGAACTTGGCAATGATACTAAGACTGTACCGTTGCTTCCATGCTAACTTTTTGAAAAAAAGATCACTTAGGGATGGTTTTAAATGCTTCTTCATATTTTGGCAGGACACCTTTGTTCAATTCTGTAAAGTGTCTGAGACAAATGAGTGTTATCATATTAGTGCTTACAAATGTATAAACACAAATAAATAGATAACAATCATACTAGAAATTACTGTCATAGATTACTGACAGATTACTGTCATAGTTACTTTTCTCCTTGCTGAGACAAAATACTCAACACTCAAAGTTAAAGGAGGACAGGTTTATTGTAGCTCACAGTTTGTAGAGGTTTCAGTCCATAGTAGGCAGGGTGGCGTGGCAGAGGGGCATCACAGAGAAATAGTTCATGGCTAGCAGGAGGTAGCAAAGCAACAAAGTAGGGAAGAAGCAAGTCCAAGCTACCTTAACAGCTTCTTTCTGCCCCTTTTTATTCTATCTAAACTACAGGGCTTAGGAGGGGTGCCAAACCAGTTAGTGGACTAATTTAGTAATCACACACCCTTAATCCCAGCAACACACACTCTAGATCCAGCCACTTCTGGAAAAGCCCCACCCAGGACTGTATGAG